GTGTTAGTGACTTAGGTCCGTTTGCAAACGCTTAAAAATAAGCGCTTCTCCGCTTGGCTTAAAAAAGCTAAAACTAGTGTTTAAATTAGTGTTTTTAAGTGACAGCTTCTACTTAAAAAAAAATTCACTGTTTTTGGCTAAAAACTACTTTTTACCTTTTTCTATTACACAAAAAACACATATTTACCAAACACTACTAACTTTTACTTTTCAAAATCACTAGTTTATCAAACACTATCAACGTTTACTACTAATCACTTTTTCCAAAATCACTTCAAAAAGTGGTTTTTAAAAAGCATTTGCAAACACTCCCTTAGTGTGCCAATTTAATGCATTTTTGTGCTTTGAATTTTTAAAAATATTAATATGAATTATGTGAATTAAAATAAAACATTGATTAGTTTTGTATTCATTTTCTACAATGAAACACGTGAAGACTAAAATTCGTAACAAGATGATTCTTGAATTTCTTGCCGATCGTTTAACCATCTTTATTGAAAAAGAATATGTTAACAAAATCGACATTGAGGCTGTCATATATGAGTTTGCTAAGGTCAAAGAACGTCGTGTTCAGTTAACGTTTTAGTTTCAAATATTGTATGTAATGTTAAAAATATTATTATGAATTTTAATATATTTTAATCATTAAGTTCACGCTATTTACGCTTTTAAAATTTTTATATACTCTGTAGTGTTTTAGTTTATAGTTGCCCCCGAACATCCGTCTTGGCTACGCCCTTGCACCCACATAATCCGTTTTACATAAACAAACAAGTCGCCACTAGGATTGGCGACTTTGAAGTCACCACTCATATTGGCGATTTTCCTTAACTATGGTTACTCCAGGCCCCAACATAATATCCAGTAGTATATTGATCGCGCGTTGCGCGAATGTCATATACCCAACATTCATTTTTTTTATGAATTTTGTAAAATGTTTTCAACATAATGTTTACTTTAGGAGTTATATAATATACCATACTGATTTCACAAAAAATGAGATTAAGTTGAACAATGATTAATGCCCAACACTCATTCAGTTGGTGTTACAATAAAACACTATGAACAATGATACGTAATGTGAACATGAGAATAATAGAGCTGAAATAACAAACAGAGTATGACGACGAAGTGGAAAATAGTATGCTCTCAAAATCCAAAAGATGAAATAGTGCAATTAAATTCGAGAACATGCATGCAAGAAAATCTATCTAACCATATCTACCAAGTGATCCACTTTATTGTATTTAAAATATATCATATGTAACTTGTGAATTAAGTGTTTGAAATACATTTCTAATACTGGAGTATCAAACATTAGAAGGTAATATGTTAATGTGAAAGTGTAAAACGTTATAATCTGTAACATTCAGTTATATACTTCTTCTAGTTTATACTTCGTATTAGCTATTTGATTCCCCCATTCAACTCTTCAAAGGGGATAAAATTCATTTCATTCATAAATGAATAAGCATTTTTAATATTTTTTGTGCTTTTGATTGTGAAATGATGAGGTCTCCTATCATAGACATTTTTTTTAATTATAACATGGTATATTCTTTGTATAATTCAGTTTAGCTATTTTATTTCCCCTCTTAAACTCTACAAAGGGCACTGAAGATTTGTTGTTTGAATATATCTCAGGGGTTGAAAACATGTTATTGAAAACAACGGACCATTTTAAGCCTCAATGAAAATCTATCTTTTAGAGAAGTTAAAAACTAAAGTGTGATTACTAAAAAACTGCACATAAAGGCAATAACAATTAAATAACCTAGTGTGTTTTTTATTCCTTTCATATGAATTTTTGGAATCATAATTGATGTCTTATTAATATAAGAAGGACAGCCAAAAAGCAGAAAACCCATAATAAATGGATAAACATGTGAAACTGAACTGACCAATTGCTGAATTAATCAACTTCAAAGAAGCAACAATGCAAAAAATGCGGGAGATTTTATGCTCATAGAATGACTTGCATATAAAAATAAAAGTTGATCTAATAAGCTCTAGTAATTTAAATGAAGCAACCTTGCACGTTTAGAGCACAAATTCTATATAATTTATATCTTATTGGGTTTTTAAATATACAATTACTTTGAGATCAAAATGTAACTAATTGGCCTACGACAGTTTGTTTCTGAACAAGAAGGGAGTATCATGGAATGGTTAAGCAATTACTGGAGGTATTATCTATAGCTTATATTTAGCCTATTAATTTAAAATTACAAAATCTAGATGGTTTGTTTTGGAGATTAATGTTTCTTTTTAGTCTTTGCAGATGCACACTTTTGATTTAAAATGATGATATTACAATTCATACACTATAGATCAGTACATGTCTAAAAAATATTGGAAGTTCTATTTCTACTAATTATACTACCATTCCTGTCCCACTTTAAAATTGCAGGTCGCATTGGAATAACAAACACCTAATATGGTTAAATACTTAAATAAGACATTATCCCAAAGTCCTAGTTCATGACAAAACTATTCAATCCTTAAAACTATTTGGTCTGAGATATCACATGTAGAACTATTCTATTAGACATATAAACAAACTTGTTGTGGGTTTGAGTTTTATTCAAAAAGTTTCTAATTCTTTTTATCTTGTGTCAACAATTTGTACAGAATTGATGAGATGAAGTTCCATATGCTTCTCTTCAAACAAACAAAAAGTTCCATAGGCTAAAAAGTGTTCAATTTGCCAAGAAACGTTTACATCAAGATGAATGAATTCAGCATTTAATCTTTATCAACTTAATTAAGACATGACAAAATTACAGCGAACAACAAATCAGGAGGAAAGCTCAATATTAAATGGCGGAAATTTCATTATCTTGTCTTCTCAATCTATATACGAAGGATTTTTAACATTTGGAATGTATGTAAATCAAACAAGGAGAAATCAAAAAGTCACCTTATTAATTATGGAGTTTGGAAGATAATACACACTAAATATGAATAGTCAATTCAATTGCAGACCTATAAGCTTCAGGGATGATTTAGTGAAGAATCAAGTGTTTGGAAGTGTGCTATTGTGTATTAATTTGCTCGGTTGTATTTTACTCTAGGTAGAACACCGTTATACCGAAAATTTTAACACCGTTAAGTGTACAACTCAACCGAACAGTAGCTAACTGTCAAGCAAGTGAAATACTCCGTACACCATGGACAGAGTACAATATAATAAAGCATGAAGGAGCAATTAATGTGAAAAACTGTCCTTTATTCAGACACTTCACTCTTCAGGCTTAAATTAGGAACGCAAAAGCGCCAAAACCCTGGAACTCACCAAACAAAGGAGCAGAGCAGCCAACCATGCATCCGAGCACTATAGGAGCTGTTGAGCAAAGGAGAAACTGGAGAGGACTGATAGGAGCAGCTGTGCAGTCTTGTGGTGTGCCGCACGGCCTGCACCGCCGCATCGGCACTCCGCCAGCGACTTTGTGGACGGTGGACCTTCTGGCTTCCGCGGACTTATAATTTTGGTACTCCTCTAATTATTATACTACGTATTGACTAGTTCAGAATCCATACAAGTATACTAATACAATCATACAATTCATACTTCATAGAAGTTGAATGTTGATCATTTTTTAGTTTATTTTATCTGTTGCTTACTTGATTTGTTCTTACCTTGTTGATGTTGTTATTAGTTGATTCATTGGTTTCTCGATAAATTCATTTGTGTTGCTATTTAGTTCATTTTTTATGTTGGCTTGTTGCTGTTCTGCCTCTGCTAAATTCAGCTATTAGTTGATTAGCTCATAGTCATTGGTTGATTTGTTCCAAGTGAAGTGGGTTTTATCTAATCTAATTTTATTTGGATTTTGTGTTTGTTATAATTTGTTCAGTAATTAAAGTTCTAAATTTAATTAATTAATATCTCAATGTCATAAAAATGGTAAAATCCGAATGAGAGAAGGAAATGAAAGAGGAGAATACTAGAGAAATTGACCTTAAGTCATAGGGATTAAACGGTAAAGTTTGTCTGTTTGAAGAAGTCACATCTTGAATATCCTCCTTTGAATGAAAATGATAAGTCGTAGGAAAAGACTGACTTTGTTGCCGAAAATCTAACATATCTAAGTCTTTTTATTATTATAGAGGTCTTGAAATATGTTTAATATGCATGTTGGTTTATACAATTTGTATTTTTAAGATTAAGCCCTTTATGACCTACCCGCCTCTACCCTTGAAATGACATGACCGGCTTTGCTGACCATACACTAGTTTCCTACAAAGCCCCCCCCCCCAAAGCATGACATATACATAATCATGTGACTTACTATGAGAACATGCCAATGAGTGAGTAGGCATTTTTTTTAAATGGACCTATAGTCTTGTACCCCTATGTGGGAACTACATGATCTTACTATTTTCATCTTTGACCCACATTCATTTGGATTTAATATGTAACCTTTGAATTCAAGTCTTAAGCACTAAAATTATTGTGTTTTATTGATTCAAATCCACATTCGACCAAAATAGCAACAAAATATAAATGGAAACATCTTTTAAAGATGTCAAAGAAATTGTATTCAATCATAACTTTACAACATATTTATTTCAAAACCATTTAATGTATAAAAAATTGTATGAAATAAAAAATATAGAATACATGTATGTTCTAATTAGTGAAGGTTGTCATACACACATACAGACTAGCGCAAACAATTTCTTACTCAAATGTAACTATTTAAAGTTCAAAAATTTAATTCAATATTTTGAAACGTAAATTAGTGATATTGTTTTTGTATAAGAAAATACAATATTATTATCCGTGCAAACTTTTTTGCCATAAATCTAAATAATAACTTGAAAAGTTGACAATTTAACATTTTAATAACTACTACGTGTAATATGAATAATATAAATATATTTTTAAAAATCTCGATGTACTAAATAATTAGATCAGATCAAATACGGAGTAAGTAGAATCTCTGAAATTCACATGTGTTTTCCATGTTATAAAAGTCCAAAACTTGTGTGTGATAACATTACTCCATATTTTAAATCAGCTTGACGACGGATTCCAAAAACAATGGCGAAACATGTGATTTCCTCCAAGTTCCTCAGCAGCCACGTCGCTGTAAGCCGTAAATTCTTCTGCTCCTGCGCACTACCTTCCCCTAGCGCCATTCATGATCCACCCGAAGCTGCAAGCAAAAACCTTCAAGAAGAGTTGCGGAAGCTCCGAATCCTTCTGCAGCAGAATCGATGTGTCAGTGCAAAGAATATCCTAGTCAATCTTGCGCACTCAAACTCTGTCTCCGAGCTTTACAATGTCTTCTGTGTCCCTGTAGCCGCATCGACGAAGCCCCTTTTTGCTGACATGCTTTTCTCCATTTATGCCGACTCCAGGCTACTTGATAAAGCAAGCGAGCTGTATTCGTTGATGAGAAAAGAAGGTAAGTTCCCTTCTTTGTCTGATCTCAATTCGTTTCTTGAAATGCTGAACAATTCGAGACAGTACGAGAAGGTTCTCGAAGTGTTTTCGGATGCGGTTAAAACAGATATGCAGGTCGATAGTTGCAGTTGCAATGTAGCTATACAATCAGCGGTGAAGCTAGGAGACTTGAGACAGGCACTTCATGCAATGGATTTCATGAGAAAGTCTGGGTTGCGAATGGATTCTTTTGTGTACAATGTGGTCATGGGGGGCTTTTGTAAAGAGAGAAGGGTCAGCGAAGCACGGAAGCTGTTTGATGAGATGCTCCTAAGAAGAGTGACACCTACCAAGGTGACTTTTAACATTCTCATTGATGGGTACTGTAAAGTGGGGAACTTGAAAGAGGCTTTTAATGTGAGGGAAAAGATGAAGAATGAAAATGTAAAGCCAAATCTGATCACTTTTAACACTTTGCTAAATGGGCTTTGTAAGACGGGGAGAATGAAGGAAGCTAACATGGTGTTGGAAGAAATGAAGACTTATGGATTTGTTCCAGATGGATATACATACAGTGTACTCTTTGATGGGCACTCAAGGTGTGCTGATGTTGATTCATCTTTGGCTTTGTTTGAAGATTTGGTGAAGCAGGGGGTTACAATGAATGAGTATACTATCAGCATTTTGTTGAATGTGTTGTGCAAGAATGGGAAGATGGATAAGGCTGAGCAGATTCTCAAGCTGTTGATGCAAAGTAGACATACCCTTACAGAGGTGATATTTAACACAATTGTCAATGGCTATTGCAAGGAAGGCAATATGGAGCAGGCGGTTTCAATTATTGAAGCAATGGAGAGTTGTGGATTGAAGCCAAGTTGTGCAACATTTAACACATTAATCGGTACGATATGTAAATCTGGAAAGATGGAAGAGGCAGAGGGATTGCTTAGAAAGATGGATGAGAAGCAAGTTTCTCCAACTGTGCAGACATACAACATCTTAATAAATGGTTACGGTTGTAGACATCAGTTTGATAGGTGCTTCGAGATTCTTGAGGAAATGGAAAGCAGAGAACTGACGCCCAATGTTATAACATATGGTTCATTAATAAATTGTTTGTGCAAGGATGGTAGGCTTCCTGAGGCGGAAGTGGTTGTGAATGATATGCTTGTTAGAGGGGTTAAGCCCAATGTCCAAATACATAATATGGTTATAGATGGTCACTGCACCCGCGGAAAAATGGAAGATGCTTTCCGGGTCTTGGACAAGATGGTCGGGAATGACACTGCACCCACAATTGTAACATACAATTCGTTAATACATGGCTTATGTAGAAATGGAAGGGTTAGGGATGCTGAGGAATTAATCCTAGAGATTCCAAAAAGAGGTCTAAATCCTGATGTTATTACATATAATTCTTTGATCTCTGGCTACTCACATGAAGGGGACACTGCTAAGTGTTTTGAATGGTATGAGCAGTTGAAAACAGCTGGTGTTAAACCAACCGTAAACACTTATCATCCCCTAATTAGTGCTTGCAAAAAGAAAGAGAGTGGACTGACTCTAGTTGACAAAATTGTGCAAGAAATGTCCGTAATGAACCTGTCTCCTGATAGAGTTGTATATAATGAGCTAATTAATTGTTATGCACTTCATGGAGAGGTTGGAAAATCATTTGCGCTACTTGGTGAAATGGAACAACAAGGAATTATTGCTGACAAGGTAACCTGTAATAGCTTGATTATGGGCCACTTGATGAAGGGAGAGAGTTTAGAAGCACAGAACGTGTTTGATTGCATGAAGGCTAAAGGAGTTGTTCCTAATTCTGACACTTATAACACTCTGGTTAGTGGACACTGCAAGCTAAATGACTTCAATGGAGCACTTATTTGGTACAGAGAAATGTTTGAGAAAGGTTTTTTACCAGCTATCACTATCTGCAATGAGCTTATTTCTGGCCTTAAGGCTGAAGGAAAATTTGAGGAAGCCAAGATAATATGCTCAGAAATGAGTGTTAAAGGATTAGTGGGATGAGTTAAGCTCAAATGAGGATTTCTTGCGTATATACTTGCTGGTAAGAACCTTACTTTGTAATTTTATCATAATTTGATACTTTGCGTAGATATGCTATTTTTGGGTCATCAATAATATTGGTTCATCTGAAGTATTGGCTACTTTTGACAAGTTCATTCCCCTCCCACATAGTTTATTTATCAAAACATACTCTACTGGATTTTATTTGTTGAAACATGTTTTTTTCCGGACATATTTTATTATTTACAACACTTTTGTTTTGATAAGTTATTCATTCATAACAACAGAAATATATTTACTTTTTCGACTTATCTCCCCATTTTACCTTTCAGCTCTTTTCTCCTACTTTTTACGTTATTCTACTGTAAATACTACTCTTAGGCTATCTTTGGCACGTCCGTTCAGCTAAAAAAGGGCTGAAATCTTTTAAATTCAGCCCATTTTAATTAAAGTAGTGTTGTTTGTTTGAAGGGCTGAAGTCAGCTTGAGTTGAAATGAGCTGAACTTAAATGTTTAGTCTAGAAGTGTTCCTCTTCAGCCGGGTGTTTCCAGCCTTTCTATTCCCATCATGGCCTTTCTCTTCAGCCGGGTGTTTCCAGCCTCTCTGCTCCTATTTCTCACCAGACCGATAGCCAGGTTATCAAGGCAGAGCTCTAACTGAAGGTATGTATTTTTTCTTCCTGTTCGATCACTATTAACTTCTCTGCTTTCTCTATTGTACTCCATCTACTCTCTGTGCTTTCTTTGTTGTATTCTCCCTTTCCATTCTATATGGAAAATAAATAAATAAAACTTACCAAGGTCACCTGTGTAGCCATGAAGGGACCTCCACAAGAGAGTCATCTTCTGTGGTTTGCCAGTAATAGAAATGCCAAATGAAAATGATTGCCAACCGATTTTCTTGAATAAAACTAAATGAGAATTTAATTGATAAATAGTTGTGTGATTTATTGGGGATGGATGATGAACCCTAAGATCGAGACTATTAAACTTAGTGTCAGTGTGGATGAAGGATGTTTGAGGGTGTGGGTTTTCAAGGGGTTAACGTTTACACACCAGTTGCTAGAGAACTATATGTAAGCTTCACATTTTACCTTTTATACTAGCATTGGATGGATAAACTGCTCAGGCTCTAGAATAACAATCCTGCACTATCCTGTCCTATGGGCAGTTGTTGTTTTTCTACTTCCGAGAGAGTTTTAAATCGTCGAAGAACAAAAGCAAATATATAAAGCAATATCAACGACTCACTTTTTTGATGTCTCTAATCTCTTTGTTGGCATTTTCCAAATAGAATTACATTAATGTGATAATTATGCAGTGAAGGAAGCCCGACCTGTAGATTGCTTCTTACTTTAGTTTTAAATTCAAGAGATGCAAGTAAACACCCAACATACCACACTATTACACTTCAGCATCGGGTATCTAACTAAAAACGGATGTTTTTATTAAAAACATCACATATCCACACTGATATAGAGTTATGACTTGGAGAAATAAAAATGTCTCAAAAGGAGTCTATAGTCTTACTGATTGTAATTGTGATAGGAATGAGGAACCAGAAAATTCATGTATATTAAGTAAAGAATTCAGAGAAATCACAGAATTCCTGAAGCACTTGCGATGGCAGAAACTGTAGCTAGCGTACAAGAAAGAGAAGAAAGAAACTGAAATACAGTGACTCAGTGAGACACTTTGAGTAGTCTCGCAGTCCCAAATTCCAGTCCCAATTTCTGCCTACCTTCTTCCTCCTGCCCCCTCTTTTATATAATTTCTATTCTTAAGGGCCGGCCCATACTTCCTGAATTACATGGCCCAGAACATTTATTATACAATAACACTCTATTTAATAATACTATATTATTCTTATTATTATTGACTGTCCATGTCCCTATCATATCTCCCCCCTTGAACAACCACATTGTCGGTGGGTGATAGGAAACAGCCTTGACCTTCAACTTCATCTTCATTCTGGCGCCTCTTCCGTCCCAATACATCTTGGGTTTCTGGACCTTTAACTTCAGTACTCAAAGCTGCATCTTCATGTTCTTCACTTCAAAAACGAGCAGAAACAAAGTCCTGGTGGCAGAGTGCTCCCTTATGTTGCGAAAGTTTGAATCTCCCTGCGTCTCTTCCCTATAGATTTCAGCCCACATTATGTGTGTCCAGGGGATCTTAGGAATATCAGAATCTGAACCCATGGTTAAAAAAATTGCAGCTCAGCCACTACATTCCAACACCTAAAGCAATAATTCAAGTAAGAGTCCACCCAAAACACTGCTTTTCGCCAAAGGTAAAGACGAAGACCATGCTGCCTCATACCCACCCTGAAAAGCTTGATGGTATAAACGCTGTGCAAAGTGAAGAACAAATGGCAATCCTTGGTCATGCTCATGCATGTATCTCAGGTTAAAAAAGTTTTGAGCATGGGCTTGTGACTTGATATGTTTATACGATTTTGCTGCACGTTCATAATCTCGGTCAGTATCCTGACCATAATAATATGCATCCCCAATAGGTAGAGCAGCGTTTTCATTGCCCTGCACAGAAACTTGCTGCCACAAAGCATCTACTTCATCTTCTAGAAAATACTTTTCGACCAGCTTCAAGTCCCTTTTAGCCCCAAGCTCTTTTAAGTGCATAATCCCAAGGTTGTAGAATATACCAATTCTGTACTTTGCTCTTGCATTCCCTTTCTGTGCTCGATATTCTAAAATTTGGAAGTCCTCATCCTCTTCTCCTCTGAATTTCCTCAATGCTTCCCTATTTTTCTTACTCCCATTATGTATCAGAACTGGTTCAATTTACAGGTGAGTCAATTGAAGTTGGAAAACTATTTATAGCTACCTCTGCCACTTCAGCATACAGGTAACTGCTTTATCATTTCTTCTTTTGTCGCAGCCAACAGTAAAACCAATGGCCGTGCTTAGCAGGCCATCAATACCACTAGCTCCTCTATTGGAACCAACTTGTATATAGCAACAGGATCCTGAGCCCTACCTGATAGACAAATTATGCTAACTTTCTGGTGTAATCCGTACATACATATCAGCATCACAAGTAGGCATGTTGTTTCCAAACAAGATAGCAGATTCACCGCAAATAGCAGTCAGATTGGTGTGTGCAGCATAAGGTTCAGTCAGAGAGTTCTCAGAAGTGATTTGTAAAGATAATTCCTCTTTACCTGGACGCATTGCATTGACTTCCTCCTCAGTTGGGTTCGGATTGTTCGGAATAACTGGTGGATCTTCCGCAAGCTGAGTAATCTCTCGTCTGGATCCAGTTCCTTGATTACCGATTCAGCTGACTTCAACTCAATGTTCATTACCGGCTGTGAAGTTCCTAGCAAGGAAAGCTGCGCTTGGTGAGAGACGACTAGTGACCCTGTGTGAGAAGGCGAACTGGACACCTGCAAGTCTGCAACCCGGTAGAAACTGCCTGCGATGAAATTTGATGAAGAATGGCTAGCGACGACGAACGGTGAGAAGCTGTTTGCAATGACGAACTGGAAACTGCGGCTAGCAACCGAGAAGAGACCTGCGAACCCATAGAAACGGCTTGCGACGAAGAATGCGGACAAGGAGACTCGGCTAGCGATTTTGCAGAATTCGTACAGCGTCACACTGTCCTGGCTCGTCCTCACGATAGGTGCTGTTTCTGGTTCGCTACCGAATTCCGCAGCTCATCCATCTTACATCCATCCAAAGGTCCAGATTCTCCATTTTCGTTTCCATCATCTGTTCTAAGCTCAGCATCTTGTTCCACATCTCTTCTACTACCGTGCGCAGATCCTGAACACTATTTTCCACCGATTCGATCCTGTGTTCCATCCGAGCTCTCGTCGAGGTCATTCACTGGTATTCCAGGATGTTGCTTTGATACCAATGATAGGAACCAGACAATTCGTGTATATTAAGTAAAGAATTCAGAAATATCAAAAAATTCCTGAAGCACTTGCAATGGCAGAAACCTTAGCTAGCGTACAAGAAAGAGAAAAACGGAAATACAGTGAGACACTTCGAGTAGTCTCGCAGTCCCAAATTCCAGTCCCAATTTCTGCCTACCTTCTTCCTCCCCCCCTTTATATAATTTCTATTCTTAAGGGCTGGCCCATACTTCCTGAATTACATGGCCCAGAACATTTATTTTTACAATAACACTCTATTATTCTTATTATTATTGGCTGTCCATGTCCCTGTAGGTACAAGCCTGAAGTTGAAAGCTATGAGTTTGGATTAGTACTTGAGGTAATGAGAAATTTCTGAATAAAAAGTTTGTATTTTCTTCAATGGTATATAACTCTTAAATTATCTTTGTTATTTGTGCATAGGGAAAATGTTGTTGGACTTAACTCTGTTGTCTTATATCTGTCCAACATTAAGTATGCTACAAAGAGACACAGCTTGGTGCTTTTGGAGATTACCTTTAGTAAAAGTAAAGTAGTGATGAAGTTTTTAGGAACTCTCCTTAGTCCTTATACTCTTTTAAGCACTGTTAAAATGAGCCTAAGCATTATGGGGGAGCTAGATTAAAAAGCAAAGTTGTCCAACTTGCACTTTGCTGTATGGTATATTCATTGCGAAAGGTGTGAAATGGGACTATTTATGCTAAAAAAGTTTGGCACTTTTGCAGGAGTAGAAGATACCACTCTTTCATCCTGTTATAGATGGCTAATGGGTGCCACTTATAAGTACATCTTTTATACCCTCAAGTAAGCTTATTCTACTCTCTTGCTTCATTTTATGTACTTTGTTAATAAAACTCTCCTATTTTACAGAGTGTTAACTATTTTTTGTTATACAACAACATCCAAGCCTTAGTCCCAAAAGATTTGGGGTCGGCTAACATGAATCGATACATGATATCACCACCAAAAGGAAAAGAAAGAAAAAAAGAAAAAGATAAAAAGATAAGCTATTATAAAAAATATAATATAAAAAGAGATGAATATACCTAAAAATGATAAAAATAATGTTTATATAATAAGGATAAAAGGATAAAAACAAGAAAAAAGATGAGGGGAAAATATAATACGAGATTCAATTGTTAACTATTTTTTGTTATCTGTGTGAAAATTTAAATTGAAGATTGTTCTAGATAAATAATTAAATTGTCATATTATTTTCTCACATTGTTAAGTGTTTAACAATTGATCCATGCTTTTATAGTTTTTTCACATATTTGGACTAAACAGAACATGAAATATTGTGACCGAACTGTGGAATATGCAAGTCCTAGATCTTCTCTTGTTCTACATACTACGTATATATGAAAACTTTGGCAAGGATTTACTGGTATTTTAGCTTTTTTACTTTTGTCCGTCTAGTGTTTTTTTCAAATGATAATTAGTGTTCTAAGGGGTTTTCAATAAAAAGTTTTATTTCTAATTTCTTCACTTTAGGGGCAGGAGTCTTTATTCGTAAAAACCTCCATCAATATATAGTACCTTAGCAATGTCAAATGAGTAAATTTTTACCCGGTAAAGTTCCACTAGAGATTGTGAAAGGGGCCATGCTCACTCTAGTCTAGCAGAATTTATTTATAAAAGAAAAGAAGTTAGATGCCTTGAGGCCCTGGATAAATTCCGGATCATGTTTCTGTGCAATATCCTTCAAGTTAACTTGATCTAATGTCATAGCTGAACCTCTTTTAAGAGATAATAATTGCTTAGATTTCTGGAACACTTCAGTATTGATATCATCAATTTCAGAGAACCTTGTCTGTTGTTAGAATAATCAACCCGTTTAATAGTTGGTTTTGTCACTTGATGAAGTTCCAATGATTCTTTTTACTGCTTTTGTGTCACCTATTTTGATTTGTGTTCACTAGTTGCAGATTTGCAATTAATATCAAGGTGACCTTGTTTGAGGACTTAGAGCCATATCGTGGCATCCTTGGGTACTCAATTCTTTTGATAAAAGCTGCTATAATTTTCTTTTGTATGTGTTTGTGATGTACCAATGAATAATCTGTGTATTAGTGGTTTCATTAGGTCCATTTCTACTCTAACCCTTGCCACCTGGGGGTTTGGTTTTAGTAAGTGTGGTTTGGTCACCCTCCTCCCCTCGGGGCTTTCCTAAGAGAGATATACATGCAAGAGCCTTCATTCTAAAATAGTGAACCGGAAGACCGTAGAGTATAATCTAGATAGGTTCAAGACAAGTGTCAGCTTGTGTTGAAATCATGTGTCCATTTGAAAACCCTCATAGGGTTAGCCTCACTAAATAGTATTTTCCCTTTTAGCAGAATATAAGTACTAAAGCACCATAAAATAGTATTTACCTTTGTAGGAGAATATAAGTAAAATCCTAGACATTGTAAAAAGTCAGGAAAGCGTGCCTGGGTACGATTGCATCCAATAGTAATACTACCTTGTTGGACAGTCTCAATAGCAAAATGGCTTCGGATGACCTCAAGCTCAGGTTGACCATAAGAAAATTTACCCACAACGGCCACAAGTGTAAATATATCAAATTTTGAGAGTTCGACTATTCACTTTAAAAATTATTTTATATTGATATTTATGTCATACTAAATTATGATTTTTAATATGTCAGGTAGATGAGGAGGTGATGAAATGCCAACCGATGAAGATCAATAACTCATTTGAAGTGATTTTGTTCTTAGCTTTCAGTTTTGTTTGGTTTTAAACTTAATTAATTCTTAATAGGCATTAAATGTTCGCGAGCCGTCGAGCTTCATATTATTGAACTCTATTTATTGAGTAGTTATAAATGACTTAAAGTTGCTAGTTGCTTGTGTAATTAGGTGACTAAACCTTGTTATGGATTCAAGGTACATAGTAATACTGGGTGATTTTTTTCAGAGTATACTAGGGTGACCTTCATTGTAATGAAATTTATTGATGTACAATTGTACGGAGTAATATTACCGTTTGCATAATTGCATTTTACGTATAACATACTACCTTTAGCATTAAAATCAGATTGTATCTAAAAAACTTGTATAAAAAAGAAAGAACTTGCATCTAAATATACGTAATATTGAAATAAAAACAAGAAAAATATATATTAAAATCCAATACTCTCTAACCCATTAGCATCCTCCCAAAGAACTTGTTTGATCCAATTTGGAGTTGATTCAAGAACTGAAAGACTAGGAGTGGACTCGGGTCGGGCCAACCGGTCCGGAACTGGCCCGGACTGGTACTGTTTGTACCCGGCCCGGGAACCGGTCTGGGTGCCGGTTCGGGCCAACCGACCCGGTCATATAGCGGTCCGGGCTCGGGACTGAGAAAAGATGAACCGGCCCGGGCCATAACGGTCACTTTTTTTATTTTATTTTTATATTTTAAACCTCCTAGCCGTTGGGACTGTTCCCAAACGGCTCTATAGCCGTTGGACTGTTGGAGGCATAGGAGGGGGGGGGGGGGGGGTCCGGGGGGTTTGGGGAGGGGGAATACAAAAAAAAACCGGTCCGGGTTCGGTCCGGGCCATAACGGTCACTTTTTTTTTTAAACCTCCTAGCCGTTGGGACTGTTCCCAAACGGCTCTATAGCCGTTGGAGGCATAGGAGGGGGGGGGGGGGGGGGGGGTCCGGGGGGGATACAAAAAAAACCTGTTTATACTCCTATTTTTTATACATTTTTTACACCTCTTCTCCTACAACTCTTCCTACTCTCTAATTCTCTATTCTCTCATATGCAATCATCTTCATCTTCTCCAAATTCTTTCTACATATATATTATTTATATAATTATTATATCTACTTATATATTAATTATCTACTTATAAATGCATATATTATATTACTACTATTTATTATCTACTTAATATTTACTTGATATTTAGTTATTATCTATACTTATTGTTATTTACTTATATTTACATATTACATTTAGTTAATATATACTTATATATATATATATATATATATATATATATATATATATATATATATATTAAAGTATTAAGTATAAGTGTATTACTCATCTTATAGTAATATACTTATATATTATATACTGTAAACATTATATTATATATTACTTATAATATATTTACACATTATATATACTATATATACTTATACACATTCATATTTACTTGATATTTAGTAATTATCTATACTATTTTTATTTACTTATATTTACATATTACATTTAGTTAATATATACTTATAGATATATATTAAAGTATTAAGTATAAGTGTATTACTCATCTTATAGCAATATACTTATATATTATATACTATAAACATTATATTATATATTACTTATAATATATTTACACATTATATATACTAAATATACTAATATACTTATACACATTCATACATTTTATAAAACTAGTTAATTGTTACACTTCTCATTTTTCTATTAAATTAGTTAATTGTTACATTTCTCTACATTTCTCTTTAAAAAAAAAATTAGTTACTTGTTTCATATCTCATATTAATATTAGTTAATTTTTCTAATTTTTCTACATTTATCTTTAAACTATAAAAAGTAGTTAATTGTTACATTTCTCATTTTCCTATTAGTTAATTGGTACATTTCTCAGTAAAGTAAAAAAAAAACTAGTTAATTGTTACATTTCTCATATTAATATTAGTTAATTGGTACATTTCTCATTAAAGTGAAAAAACTAGTTAATTGTTACATTTCTCATATTAATATTAGTTAATTGGTACATTTCTCATTAAAGTGAAAAAACTAGTTAATTGTTACATTTCTCATATTAATATTAGTTAATTGGTACATTTCTCATTAAAGTAAAAAAAACTAGTTACTTATTACATTTCTCTTTAAAGTATAAAAAAACTAGTTAATTGTAACATTTCTCTACATTTCTCTTTAAAGAAAAAAAAAACTAGTTAATTGTAACATTTCTTTTTAAAGAAAAAAAACTAGTTAATTGTTACATTTCTCACATTAATATTAGTTAATTGGTACATTTCTCATTAAAGTATTAATTAGAAGTAGTTCAATTTTTTTTTCAAGGAAAAAAATTGTTACATTTGATATACTCATATTTTAGTTCGAATTTGCTATGATTTTCTTAGTCACATTTTATTATTACTATTGTACTCATATAAAATATTTGATATCATATAATATTTGTTCAATTTTAAAGATGGACCGTGGTAGACATTCTGTAGATATGAGTAATCTCCAACGCAACCGGAAGAGGGAGATTGCGACGACTCGTCCTAGTTCACGCAAAGGCAAAGGTAAAGCGCAGGCCGAGTCTTCTTTTCAAAGTCGAGATGATTTTGAAACGGATTACCAACGGAGAGATGATATGGCGATGTCCGACGACCAACTACAAAATGATCCACGCTTTGCACAAGAATAACAATTTCCGACAACCATTGACGAAGATGAGCTCGAGGATGAGGATGCGGAGGAGCACGAGGGGCGGGGGGCGACGGCGCCCCGGATGATGAGAAAGAGTTGGAGGACGAGGGCGGTTCATCCCAAATTGGTAAGAAATCTAAATCTCCTATTATTGAAAACAATTTTACAAAAAGGAAAGACAAAAATACCGATAAATGGTACGCAAGTTGCAATCATTGTAACAAAGAGTATATAGCTTGGGAACTTCTGGCGGATACGGGAGTCTGACAAGGCATCTTAAGTCCGCGCACTTAGTGGAGTATGCGAAAATAGACAAAGGCAAGGGGAAGCAAACACAAATATCGAGGTTTGCAAATTCTCAACCCTTCGGTAATTTCTCCTATGATGATAAAAAACATTTGACTGGTATGTCTCATTTAATTGTTGAAGAAAATTTACCTTATATTTTTTCCCAAAGTCTTGCTTTAAGAGATTATGCTCAAGCTACTTTAAATCCTCAATTTAGAAATTATAGTCGCAAAACAATTAAAAAAGAAGTTATAAGGCAATATAACTTGGAAAAAGAAAAATTACAAATATTTTTCGCAAACTTTGATGGACGTGTTAGTATTTGTAGCGATATATGGGAGGATACTTATCATCACTTATATTATTTGGGTCTTACTGCACATTATATTGATGATGATTGGAATATGCATAAACGTGTTCTTGCTTTTCGTGAATTCAATGAACGTCACACTGCTGATAATATTTATCTTCTCATTGAGTGTATTTTAATTGAGTATAATTTGATTGATAAGGTATTTGATGTAGGTTTTGATAATGCTAGTAATAATACTGCTACTATACCTAGATTGCGTGAATTGTGTGGTGCTTCTACATTGATGGGTAGGTTTTTTCATCAACGTTGTGCATGTCGTATTTTAAATTTGTGTGTACAAGATGGGTTAGCGACATTAGGAAATGCTTTGGAAGTAGTGAAGGGGGAATTAAATTGATTTGGGCTAATACTCCACTAAAAATGCAATGGCGGCAATATTTGAAGGATAGACATGTCAGTTATTGTGCTTTTTCTAAAGATTTGTCTATTCGTTGGAATAGTACTTATAACTTAATTAAAGTACTTATTAGATATAAAGATCATTTTCCTGTTTTTTTAAGACAATCTTGTATCACCCGACTGACATCGACACTTGTGAAAAAATTGTTGATGTTTTGATATATTTTAATAATGCAACTCAAACTTTTAGTCATGTTTATAAATCTACCGCAAACGAATTTTTTGTTGAAGCTGTTAATCTTGCCGGCGCTTTTTGTGAATTTGCCGATGCCGCTTACGTCAGTTATTTTTGTGATTTCATGAAACAAATTTTTTTACAATATTATTCACATTTTCCGCATATATATGGTATTGCATTTATTCTTGATCCTCGTTATAAACTTGCTTCCTTGAGAACTTGTATAGATTACTATTATGCTTCTTTTTTTCCAACTCAAGAGTTCGATGACAATCCCATAGACCCTAAACAAGAATTCAACGAGGTTAGTAATTTATTTCATCAATTGTATAATGAATTTTATGCACAATATGGTAATGCACCCCCTCCCCTGCCGCGAACATCTTTTTCATCTAAAGGAAAATCACTTTTAAAATCTTCATTTGGTTCTCTTTTGAAAAAAAGTAAAGCAACTTCCGCTAATGAACAAAGCTCAGTTAACGAGCTTTCTTTGTATCTAACATTGAATGTTGATTATGAAGTTGGGGATTACTTTGACGTTCTTAAGTGGTGGAAGGAAAATGAAAGAACGTTCACGATTTTATCAAAGATGGATAGGCTAAGCAAGTGCTAGCAATGCCGATATCAACAATTGCCGTTGAACATGAATTTAGTGCGGCCGGCAACGTCCTAACCGATTATAGATCGAGATTGAGCCCAAGCTCTCTTGAGACGCTAGTTTGCTTCCACGATTGGTTGAAGGCCCAACGAAGAACTCAAGAAATGAGCATCGCTCCCACCCGCCACTTTATGGAGGAAACAACCGAAGGCGGAGATTCCGATTGATTATTTATTACAAAATTTATTACATTTATTAAATTCATCCTAATTCTCAATTGTTCTTCTTATTTGAAATAAATATACTTGATTTTTTTATATTAGTGTGTACATCAATTCAAGAATCAACAAAAAAAAATTAAAAAGCCCGGAACCGGCCCGGTAAACCGCCGGGTGGCCCGGCCCGACCCGTAACCGCCAGCCACCCGGGTCGGTTCCGGTTCCCATTTTCCCAAATAAAGGCCCGGCCGGGCTCAGGCCCGAACCGGAACCAGCCCGACTCGGCCCGAGTCCATCCCTGCGAAAGACCCTTTGGAGCTTGATGTGCAGCATTAGCAAGCCTATCAACACATTTATTTCCTTCACGTTAGACATGTTTAATGTGAATGAATCGACCATCCTGGAGCCGTCTTCGACAATCTTGAACTAGGACTCCGATATTAGCTGTCCACGAGCCGTGTCTCCTTTTGAGAGCCTTTATCATACTTTTTGAATCCACTTCCACGATGACCCTCTTCAAATCCAGCTCTTTAACTAACAACAATCCCTCAAAAAGTCCCTAGAGTTCCGCTTTGAAGCTATCAGTTCTCCCAATGTTCAATGTGAAGCCAAGAATTCATTCCCCTTAGTGATTCCGAATAACTCCACCTGCACCTGCCTCTCTCCCGTTATCCTAACCAGAGCCGTCACAATTTAACTTAGAGATAATTACCCTAGATATGACTAAAACTCAATGAGTTACCCAATCTATGACGTAACTAGTTTTTTTTTTGCCAAAATAATATTAAAATTCATAATATTTAATGGAAATTCGTAATAAATAAATAATTAAATAATTTAGGTGGACAAATATGTCCTTTAGCTTATATCTATAAAACCCTAATCTCCTATTTTTTTCTCCAACCCTAACCTCCATTCCCCACCTCCAAATCCTGCAGCCGCATGCTCTCTGTTAGCTGCCGCGATGAATACCATCGAAAACAAAATCTGCCTCCTCTTTACCTGAAGGATCTCAAAGCTTTAATTTGTGCTCATCGTTCAAGCAGAAGAAGACAACAAAATACGACTAGCTTAGGTTTAAAGCCATCTCAAGAGCTTCTACCAAAACTACACGGAGTGGTGGCCACTGAAAAAATTGTTCGTTATGTTATTGATTATTGCTCTGGCCGGAGGCTATCTCAATGCTCTCAGAAACAAACAAGCGGAGAAAAATGTTCTCTGAGATGTAATCTGGTCAGCCTTTTATATGTAAATTTCTTTGTTTTTGGATTTGAAGATTTTTTTATAATGATAGTAAATATGCTTAGTTTTTTTCCTCCAGATTCTTAGCCATGGATTTGGTACTCGCATTAGACTATCTTCGCGGATTCAAGGGAAGGGACACATAATGTTGATCGATCTTGAGGTCTCCGCAAAGCTTTCTAGATAGTTTCTACAAAAACCAAAAACTCCATAAATTCCTCAACCAATTGAAAAATCGTGTGACAGATCAGATCCGAAGCCAAAGCACAGGTGGAAGATTAAAGCCTAGGTGTTATGTAACTCAGTGAACATGTGCATTGAATATGGGTAGTGACAATAGATAGTGATGAACATGAACAATGACCATAGCATTAGATAGCGGTGCACATGAATGGACAGTGAGTGGATGCATTGAGAAATAGAATCATTCAGGAAGAGCGTTGTGCAACACTTGGGCAGTGAGTGAATGCATTGAAGAAGAGAATTAATTTTGGTGGAAAAATAATGACATTCAACATAATAAATTCGACGTAAAATAATAAAATTGTTAAATCTAAAAACTATAAAGTAAAAAGTATAAATAAATTGCTAAAGTGAATGAGAAGAGGATTAATTTTGACGGAAGTGCAGTGATTATTACCGGATGTGCAGTAATGTCGTGCATTAATGTCGTGCAGTAATATGCAATATAAAATGCAGTAATTTTAATTGGACAAAATTGTTGCAAAATGAACATATTTTTAAAAAAGAGTATTTTAGTCACTCAACATTTAAATATAAATGTGTTTTCATTTTTTTTTGGATTTTCGGTCATCCAAATGTCAAAAAACTAAGATAGTCATATTTAGAGAATCTCAATGAGTTTTAGACTTTAGTCATATCCTTGAAAATTTCCCTTTAACTTAATATACTTAGCCACCTTTAATTGTTTGATTCCATCCCTAACACTTACTTTGTTATACTCCTCTGCATGTGCGTGTGCGTTCCTCACAATTCGATATGCATCTGGACGCATGCCTTAAAAAATCCAAGTGTTACGAGCTTTCCATAAACACCAAATAACATAAGCAAACATGGAAGCGTAGGGAATCCTGTCCGAATTTCTTCCTTTCCCTTGACAATGTCTTTGTATCCATTCCAAACTATTGAGAAAACTATCTCCCATCCTACGCATACCAAATGCAGCTTTGGTCCAATATGTTGCAACAAATTCACAGTCACACAACATATGGAGGACAGTTTCCTCAGTATTGCAAATAGGACACGTGGAATCATTTGAGAGATGTCGTCTATTCTCCATAGCCAGCTCATCTCTTCTTCAACCTGGACCGAAAAAGAAGCCTCGTAAGCAGATTTGATAGTGAACTCACCGATGACTGAAAAACTCTAGTAAATGCTATCACGCTTCCCCTTCTCGTGTGGTACGGGGATAGCTCTAACATCACCCACTACATCCTCTGGCATTATCTCTTTCAATTTAATAACATTCCACTGCTTGGAAGGAGTGATAAAATCTGCCACTTTTGAGTCCCTGTATAAAGGTTGCTTCTAATGATATTTTGAAACAATATAATTTGAATGCCCCAAATGATATTTTGAAACAAGACAATATGGTTGTCTCAAATGGTGTTTTGGGATAAGATAATATGATCGCATCAAGTGATGTTTGGATCAAGAAAATATAGTTGCCTCAAATAATATTTTGGAATTTTGGAACAAAGTAATATCATTACCTCAAATAATATTTCGGGACAAAGTAATATAGTTGCCTCAAATGATGTTTTGTGAAAAGATAATATGATTGCCTCTAAATGTAGTTTTAGAGGCAATCATCAATTAGCGAAGGATTTATTAGAGCACCTTAAGGGCAACCAATAAATTGCCTCTAAAAATTAGAGCTACTTCCCTATGTATAAAGGCAATTATGCTCTGCCTCTATAAATCAAATTCGTTTTAGTGAAACAAATATTACTTAAATACATTTCTTGCTAAGCTGGTAGAGCGAAAACTAATAGTTCTATAATCAAATCATGCCTTTCTAAGAACAATTTTTAACACTAGCACAAAACTAACAGTTCCATAAAAGAACAGTTAAAAATTTTAAAAACAATTGAATGAATAGGTAGAAGGTTGTAGAAACTAACACATACTTCGTACTATTTTTTAAATTTGAGTGTTTTATTGGTAATTTTTAAAAGACGTGACATATTACCACTAAAAAGCGAAGGCATATATTGGCATTTAGGCTTTAGGCGTAGATGAAACACTCATCTGTTCTCAAGTGGGCAAGTGTTTGAAGTTCTGAATTTTTCAATTATGTAATTAATAAGTCACAACTAGAGCCTGATATATATTCATAAACCACAAGAGTTAGATGGAGTCATGGAGGTGCAATACTATCCCAACTTTTTAAGTTTTGACTTATTTTCTAAAGCTCGGGCCTAAAAAAGAAACAAAAAACTAAATTGGTTTGCTAGTAACATAAATGTTTGTTGGGAAAAGGTTGCCACTTTTTTTGTACATTAGAAGTACCTTATAAATTACTCCGTATAATGTAAAACCAATTCTGAGCCTACTCATAACTAATACTCCACAAAGAATAAATGTTGAGCCTAATTTTTACTTTTATTTTTATTGATTTTTTAGATTGGGGCCACAACTGATGCTGCCTCCTCAAGGGGGTGCTTGACGGATAAGAGCAAATTATTGACATTACATTTCAAAAAGTGTATTTTTTTTTTTGGTTTTCTGAGATACTCCGTAGCTCACAATGGAGATGGCAGGTCCGAAAATATTTTCGGCAGTATTGTCAGCCCATTTTCGAGTTTGACACCTCCGAAAAATGGATAGTATTTTTTTAAAAATTTTTTTAGCCTCTTTTACTTCCGCCAGACGGCCGCGCCAGTACGTACACGGTACACCCACCATTCCCATTATTGGAGCAAATAGGTGATTTCCTATTGTGGATTTGTGGTAGTATGATTGTGTTTATTTGTTTTTTTTTAAATGAATTGTTTGTATTTGTTATAAATCATAAGTTATTCAATATAAGTAAAAATTGTACAATACTGTTTTTTAAATCAAATAGGCGTTTTGACACCTCAAATTTTGATCATGAATATGCGATTTACAAAAAAAAATTGACCCATTCAATTAAATTAGCACACCTTTTACAAAATGGATCCATTAAATCTATCCATTAAATCTTCTTAACTCGAATATTGACATAGTTCTTATATTATTAAATTACATTTAAAGAATGGACCCGTTTGAGCTAATAAAATCATATCCATTAAATAACGTGAACCCAAAAAATAACAGAGTACAAATATAAAGTATGAATACATATAAGCAAAGCGACGAGTTTTAAAAATGCTTGACCCATTCAGTGTTATTAACTCGAATGCAATTACAAATACAATTTACAATATCATGCGTTTAAGTCATATATGAACTCAAAATTAAACAAAGTTCATAACATATTAAGGGTACATTTAAAACATGTGACTAATAAAAGTGTTACAACATTAAAACAAACTACAAAGAAAATAAATAATAAACTATAAGAGAGTACAAATACAGATCAATCATGTTGTGCTCTGCATCTTGGACGCATATCCATCTCATTTAGAAATCTTGTTTCTTGACGGCGTCATGCTCGAGAAGTTCTGGAAGAGTATTTAGGCGGTAGAAGAATGAACTCATTTTGTGGCCGCTCATTCATATTCGGCAATGACATAATATCACTGGAATGTGCATTTATGTAAGAACTCAGTTTGTATACCTCGGGAATAAGATGATCAACAGGACACTTAAGAATATGGCAAACAGCATGTGCATGGACGCATGGCATGCCGTTCATCTCCAACAACCGCACCCACAGGCGCGCCTCGCTAGATTCATCATAACATGTATTGCATTTTCTACGGCGACTGAGTAAATTCTTGTGTAGTGGTTGTGTGGAAGAACCATAATGTGAGGTCGAGGTGTTACCAATTCTTCCACATTTCGAAATGCATAATCTATAGCCGCACGCACGCCTATCGGAGATGATGCAAACATTCCGTTGCGGCCCTATGATTTGTGTCACAAGCAACTGTAAGAACCACGTCCAACTAGCACCATTCTCACTATCTACCACTCCAAATGCTAGAGGGTAGATTTCACGATTGGCATTCATTGCCACCGCGACTAGGAGACGGCCCTTGTACTTTCCGTACAAGTGAGTTCCATCAATTGACACCACCGGAAGGCCGTGATTGAACCCATCAATCGCCGCTTTTATTGACCAAAATGCAAATTTAAATTCATATGTACCCAGGTCTCCACCTCTCCACTAACGCAGTCACAAGGGACCAATTTAACTGCACTTGTCCTATTCTCTCGACACCGTGAAATCCAGATGCTCTCAACAATCGTACCACCCTAGGATGACGCAGGCCGTTATCGTAGGCACACGACAAATAGTGATGGCACCTCAGTTTGTTGTCTCGAAATGCTGATTCACACCACACACGATCAACACGATGCTCACCAGGTATCATAACTAACACAGAACGATACAGAGGGCCTGAATGTTCAACTCGGTCGGCCATTACAACCTACAGTACACAATTAATAACCCACAAATACTAAATATTTTTATTATGTTTTTAACTCAATGTTATTAAATGTGATCAATAATATTACGTAGTTTAACAATAAAACTAATACTACATTTTGATGTGTCCACTACGAATTTATAACTACTTAAATAGTAATACGAATTTATATATTTACCCATATTATTACTTAAAATGTACTTATTAACTACTCCGTACAACTTATGGATTAGGGAAATACATATACCAATTTCTGCAATCACATCATTTACATTTTTGGCAAGAACAAGAATAAATAACAAGCCATGCAATAACACAAATACTAGGTCTACAACTAATACAAAGTCATAACTATAATTAATAAATATGTAGTAACTAATACTCTTAGTAGTATTCAATAACAACTCCTTTAATAAAAATACTCCATCTATATTAAAATAAGTGTCTCAGTAGACTTTTCACGTAATTCAAGACAACTAATAAGTTTATTGTACACTTCTTGAAAAATTAGGATATTTTTTATGTTGTAGCAGTATTGTTTACTTTATTATATTGTACCGTATATACTTTGAGAATGAATATATTGTACCGCATTTGTAAGACTATATTAGCTTAAATATGTTAATATTCCTATGTCATTGTTTCTATTCACCTATTTTTTTTTATAGAAATATTACACTTATTTATCAACAATTCTTACGACTAATGTAATAATAAAAATATATATACACTTGTTCATTTTAAACAATTCACTACGGACTAATTTAAGTAAACTTTAAATATACACACACAATAATAATAGTAATGATATCCAAATAATAATAATAATAATAAGGAGTATTTAATTACTAACCTTTCAACAAATAATGGAGGAGGTGTTGGCAGCTCTTTTTTCCGTCGGTTGGTTTGAAGATTTGGGGGATGCAGCTCTTTTTTCGTCCATTAATTTGTGTGGAAAAGGCTTTTTTATACAAAAGTTTTATCCATATGAAATTTCACCCGCCAATCAAAATGTTCAAAAATCCTTATCTTTCTGACGTCTACTGACTTCGGATGTGTCAGATCCGAAAGTGAATAAAGTGCTGCAGTACTCTTCCAATTCGGAGTACTCTCCTCCGTTCCATTCTTTTTTGTAAAAAAAAAAAGGAATCTACCCTATTTGGAATCAGCTGTTCATTTTTTACCCTGTTTCGTCATTGTGTCTCCTCAAGGGCGCCCCTGATTAAAAATAGTTTGAATTCACTTTAATGCCATGGAACCCTAACTGCCTATCTTTCGTCTCGACTTGTTTGCTACGTCTAATTCTCGGCCTCCAACTGTTCTCTTTCTTCCTGCATCCGCGGCGGAATCACCGAGCAGACATACATATGAAAATTATGAGGGAATGGCTTACCCTAGAGTTAGCCATATGCATGTATTTATAATAATCCAAGAATAAGTAATTACAAGAGTATCCCTACATTATTATCTATTACACCCCCTCAATCTATGCAGCGGGAACAACACACAGATTGGACTTAAAGAAAATTAAAACGCTGACTAGACAGATTTTTAGTAAAAATATCTGCTAACTGAAACTGAGTAGGGATATATTTTACAACTAAATCACCATGAGCCACACGCTCACGAACGAAATGGTAGTCAATCTTTATATGCTTGCTCCGATCGTGCTGAATACGGTTAACCGCAAGGTATGAGGCTGAGACATTATCACAGTAGAGCTGAACAGGTTGAGAAATAAAATATCACGTATCCGCAAGCAAAGAATGAATAAACAAGGTGTCTTGAACAGTATAAGCCACAGCTCTATATTCGGCCTCAGTGGAGGATTTTGAGACAGTAGGTTGCTTTTTGAATCGCAAAGAAATTAAATTGTTGCCCAAGAATATAGCATACCCGGCAGTGGACCGACAACTATCAGGACAGCCAGCCCAGTCTGCATCAGAGTAAGCAACAACAAGAGAGGGATCGCCACCCTTGCGCAACCATAGTCCCTCGGTAATAGTACCCTGCAAGTACCTATAAATACGCTTCACAGCTAAAAGGTGAGTAGTGCGAGGAGCATGCATAAACTGGGAGACCAAATGAACAACATATGTAATATCCGGTCTAGTAATAATCAAGTACTGTAAAGCACCTACCATACTGCGATATTCAGTACCATCAACGAGTAATTCCCCATCAGTTAAAGATAAAGTGGTACGAGTGGGGAGAGGTGTGCGAACTTGTGTGACTGTGTGAAGATGAAATCGCCTCAAGAGATCGGAAATATACTTTTGTTGGGAGAGAAAAATACATGCAGAGGTACGTATAGTCTGAACCCCGAGAAAGAAATGAATATCTCTCAGATCTTTCATGGCAAAAGTCTGAGAAAGTAAGTGAATAATAGACTGAACTAGAGAAGGAGAGCTGCCTGTAATGAGAATATCATCCACATACAAAAGAATATATATACGATGAGAGCCACAGTGATAAATAAACATAGAGGAATCAGATCGACTCTGTGAGAACCCATGACTAAGAAGAAATCCACTGAAACGATGAAACCGGGCACGAGGGGCTTGTTTGAGCCCATACAACGCCTTACGAAGACGACAAATGTGATGAGGAAAGGATGGATGAACAAATCCCAGTGGCTGACGCATATAAACTTCCTCTATTAAATAACCATGCAAAAATGCATTTTTGACATCTAACTGACGCACCCCCAGCCAAAAGAAGTCGCTAGAGAAAGTAATAGACGCACAGTAGTAGGTTTGACAACAAGACTAAAAGTTTCAGAAAAATCTACCCGGCCTGCTGATTAAAACCTTGAGCCACTAAGCGAGCTTTGTGATGCTCTATAGACCCATCACAATTGTATTTTGTTTTATAAACCCATTTACATCTGACCACATTTTTTGTGTTATCACTAGGTACTAAATATCAAGTCTTATTAGCAATGAGAGCATTAAACTCTTCATCCATAGCTGCCTGCCATTTTTCACTTTTATTAGCTTGAGAAAAACAAGTAGGATCGGGGGGGGGGGGGGGGGGGGGGGGCACTCCACAGAGGTAAGAGATAAACTATTTTTAGGCTTGTAGATGCCGTCTTTAGCTCGGGTTCTCACAGGGTGGATATTTTGGACCGGTGGTGGGCTAGGTGATAGACTATCAGGTGGAGTGGGTACGATACTAGGAGGTGGGCTTGGGGACGGGCTTGACCGAGAACTGGAAGTGCGGCTGAAGTTGGCAGAAGTGGTACGGTCTGGGCTCGAGAGAGGGTCAGGTGACACTGTATGGTGCTGGATCAATGGGAAAGATATTGGGCTGGTAGGGGTATTGGTGTGTGCCGACGAAGGAGGTAAATGTGGCGGGTGATGAGCTGTTGGGAGCCTGGGGGAGGTGTGATAGGACGAGCTACATTTGTGGGAAAAGATGGGAGTGAAGAAAATAGTTGACTTGAGGAATGTGGAGGAGTTGATTGATTTGAAGAGAGGGTAGGATAAGGGAAAGTAGACTCATGAAATACAACATCGCGACTAATGTAGACACGACCAGTGATAGGGTCAAAACAACGGTAACCTTTGTACCCCGGTGCATAGCTAATAAAAACACAAGGAGTAGATCTCGGTGATAGCTTATTACCCGACGTGGCAACTTTATTGGGAAAACACGCACAACCAAACACACGTAAAAAACTATAGTCAGGAGATTTTTGAAAAAAATTCTGATATAAACTCAGACCCTGTAGAATAGGCGTGGGAAGCCGATTAATAATGTACGTGGCAGTGTAAAGTGCATCAACCCAAAAAGGAGGAAGTTGTGCATCAATAAGCATAGTACGTATTAATTCTAAAAGATGACGGTGTTTACGTTCAGCCACGCCATTCTGAGCAGGGGTGTCGGCACAAGATTTTTGAAATAAAATACCACAATTAAGAAAATGATTAATAAATTGATGGTTATTAAATTCACCTCCTCCATCACCCTGAAAATATTTAATTTTACAACCTAAAAGATTTTCTGTTAGTTTCTGAAAATTACAAAAATGGGTAAAGACCTCAGATTTCCTATGCATGGGATAAACCCAAGTAAACCTAGAAAAAACATCAATAAAACAAACATAATATTTATAACCGAGATGGGATAAAATAGGAGACTGCCAAACATCAGAATGTATTAATTGTAATAGAGCAGTAGCAGTATGTAAAACATCTTGAAAAGGTAAACGATGGGATTTGCCTAGTCTACAAGAAGTACATAAATGATGAAAACTAGTAGATGAAAAAATCGAATGTGTGCGCCGAAGAGTAGACAATATGCTATCACCACAATGACCTAAGCGTTTGTGCCATACCGGACCAGGTGCAGAAGAAGTAAAAAGGGCTAGAGGTGATGAAGAAACCGTGAAGGGGTAAGTCCTATCCTTATTGGAAGCGTGGAGTAGAGTTGCCCCCGTTTGATTGTCCTTGACAAAAAAAAAGAAGATTTGTTAAAAATTCCAGTACAACCATTATCCTCACACAGCTTTTGAAAAGACAGTACATTGAATTTTAGATGAGGAACATGATATACTGATTTTAAACAAAGTGGGCGACCAAGTGAAGGTAAATGCACATTGCCAATTGTAGACATAGATAAATTAGTACCATTAGCTACCTGCACATGCGTGGGGTTAGTAACAATGGATTTATTATTTAAAATACCTTCATTTGGCGTCATATGAGCTGAGGCACCAGAATCTGGATACCATGTCGCTTCATTGGTCTCACCGGTTGGTAAAGCAGCTAAGGCCGGAGAGGATCCAGATGTGAACTTGGAGCAAGTAATGGCAGAGTGACCCAGTGTGAAACATAATTGACAAACTACGAGGGGGGGGGGGGGGATGCATAAGTGTGATCAACTAATGGGACACTTGCACTTTTAGTGTGAGTACCACGAGTATAATAGGGAAACAGACGAGAATTCACCAGAGGAATATTACCCATACCTGCACCGGGTGCTCCCGGAGTGTAAGATGCATGATGTCCCGCATACCGGTAATCATAGTCACGTGGATAGGGCTGCTGTCCAGGGGTACCGGGGTAGCCATACCCTCTGCCACGGCCCCGGTGACCCCGCTGTTAGCGCTGGGCGCAACCACCACGACCTCTCCAAGGTGGTGCACCCCCTCGGCCCTGAAAATGATGCTACGGGCGTACTGGTGAGCTCGAAGAAAACTGTCCAGTAGCGGCAAAGGCCTGATGCTGGGATGAAGATGCATCCGTCCCATGCATGTACTGCAGTCGGCTCTCTTGGAGGACTAAAATAGGCCCCAATTGATCAAAGGTAAATATCGGAGGAATGTATGCCAAACCGCCTATCATTGACTCAAATTCTGGACCAAGACCAACAAGAGCATAATCAATAAGATCCTTGTCACTAACCGGGGAATTGATTAGTGCCATGGAGTCGGCAGCAACCTAGATTTCCCGAAGATACTGGTCCATGGTCTGACCGGGCTTTTTCTTTTTCGTAGAAAGTTGACGTTTAATTTCCATAGACCGTGTAGTACTTGCAAAAAGAAACTCGCTTCTAAGACGATCCCAAATTTGATAAGAAAATTCAAGTTCATGCACGTCAATTAAAATATCGCGGGAAAGTGTTGTGAAAAGCCATGAACGGACTGTTTGGTCTATTTTCAACCAGTGTTGATAGTCCGTGTTAACAATTTCCCGACGAGAAACATCCAAAATAAACGGAGAAGGAATGAGAATCGTACCATCCAACACACCCAACAAACTGTGGGAGACCAAAAAAGATTCAAATTGTGTTTTCCAAGGTATATAATCCTCAACCCAAGCGAACCGAGTAGTAACTATATTCGTGACATTTGGGGTAGAAAATGTCAACTGGGATGCCATAGTAGAAAGATAAGATGGTGAATTACCGAGTCCTGATGATGAGTGATGCGGCTGCCTGGAGGAAGACCCAATTTCGAACTGACCCCCGAGGGCATGAGTAAAAGGCATAGAGGAGCCACTGGTCTGGACTGCAGCGACTGAAGAGGATGTGGTGATCGTCGGCTGCTAGGTAAAGGGTTCCGGCATCTGGAACAGAGAATAGCTTGAAACGTGAGGGCTGGTAGCACTGAAAATAGCCGACGATGGAAGGACTGTCTGCTCCTGCATGAACAAAGGTTGTGGGCGACTTGCAAGGGGCTGCTCCAACGACAGAGATGTGGGCGCCTGAGAAGATATAGCTGATAATACGGCCGTAGTATCTGGCTGAGTAGTACCAGCGATGTACGAGCCATGGGAGTCGATCGATGAAACGGCCATAAACATGGCAGTACTCATAAGGGTTAGAATCGTATACCCTTAGCAAACTGATACCATATGAAAATTATGAGGGAATGGCTTACCCTAAAGGTAG